AAAGTCATCACAAACTGAAGAGAGAACAAAATTAAAACAAAATCTTTTATAGTAAAAAAAATCTGCACTGAAAATAAGACAGGAAACAAAACAAAGATGACAAACAATATAGACCTTGGGGGAAGGGGGTGTGCAAAGTCCAATGCCACATTACCTTAGGTCACATTACTTATGGAACTGCAGATTATAAGAAAATTAGCACTTATTCAATTCACTACAAATCAATTATTGAACAAACCTTAGTGTTGTCATATTTGAAATGGCAGATCCCCTTGATGCTAGCCTTATCAATGTCCACCCTCCCCTCCGATGTCTGCTGCTCTTTCTCGCCTTTGTTTCCTTTTCTGCCAAAGCAAAGCAATTAGCACTCAATCGAAAGCAATCCCCCAATCGAAAGCAATCCCCCCATGCAATTTCAGGCCTTCAATCTTCAAAAGGGACTTCCAATCTGAAAGCACGTGGGAGGATTACTCACCTTATAAGGGAAATAATGATAATAAGAAATTCTGTGTTAAAAGAAAGATGAGAGTAAAATAGAAGGTACCTAGTCTAGTTAAGCTGTGGGTAGATTTTGTTTCTGAGCTAATGGAAGAGAAAAATAGAAAATCACCAACAAAATCGACACATCTAACTTATTTTTCTCCTCCACTATCATCCTCACTAGAATGACAACTATTCCAGCTATTACTTACCCTGTCATCAACCTTCTATTTGCTAGAAAGTATTCAATATATACTGATAATAAGACAGAGTAGCAAAGAGTACTGCTACAACAAAATAAATAAAAATTACATTATTAGTAACTCTTGATTATATGAATTTTACTCATCTAAACAACATCTAAAGAAGGCCATATCATAGCTTTTAATCATAAACAAAATGAATATGTCTAAGGAATGAAAATTTACCTAACAATCTTATACAAACACGTTTTTTTTTTTTTTTTTCTATTCTTCTTAGACAATTTTTAATTTCAAAACTCAATCATTTCAAACTATCTCACCACCAATCTCCAATGTTCTATCTCAAGCCATGGCATTTGCCAGCTCAGAGACTCAGCCACCGTCAACTGAAGTCACTCCTCCCACCAAAATCCAACCCATCAAATGCCATTGCTGCTGCTTCACTGAGGAATGCACTTCCGCCTACATCCTCCGCGCCCAGGGATGCTATCAGGGCCGCTGAATTTGCGGCCTCAAGGACATACTGCAGAGATCCCACACGATCATCTCCACCGAGGAAGTGCTGGACCGGCACATTAACTTCTGCGAGGAGTTTAGGGCCTCTTCTCCTCCTGCCAAAACAGAGCACCCAATCATTGCCATCAGCAGGTTTCTCCATCGCAGAATCTATATATTACAAAAATTTCAAAGGAAAAAAAAAAAGATAAAAAAGAGTTTTACCCAACAAACTCTAATCTGGAAAACCAGCCACCACCGAGTCTCTTTCTTTTTCTCTTCCTCAGTTGTGACCAACCTTCCTGAACCCACGATATTCCTCTTCCAATTTTTTCTCCATCTGTGACCCATTGCCCATCCACGTTGTCTCTTCCCTTTTCTCATCTCCTCTTCTCACCTCCTCTTCTCACCTCCAGCCTAGCCCCATCACTCAAAATTTCCTCGTCAGACTCCCACGCCCAGATCCAATCACAGTAGATCTACCTACTTCTTTCTTCTCTCTTCACTTAACCCCTTTCACAATCTTCCTCTACCGCCGGCAGCAAGAAAGGACATCACTCAACATTTCCTCGTCAGACTCCCACGCCCAGATCTAATCACAGTAGATCTACCTACTTCTTTCTTCTCTCTTCACTTAACCCCTTTCACAATCTTCCTCTACCGCCGGCAGCAAGAAAGGAAATGTGATTGAGATGAGGGAAATGAGCAAGATCCGAAAGGAGATGGAGGGTTTGGTGCTCAAATCTCAACAGAGCAAACAAACACAAAACACCAAAAGTCAATTCAAACTGCAGAACTCAACTTTCCCTTTTGATGATCGAGGACCACGTCCAGATTTTGCGAGAATCAATCAAACGCAAAAACGGAAATAGACCAGCATACACACTGCAAAAACAGGAAGAGTAAAGAGACCCAAAAGCCATATTCCAATAGAAAAAAAAAGGAGAAGCAAACAGAGAAACACTTTCTTTGTTAGCGGTGGAAGGGAGAGTTCATGAAATGACGGCCATGCCCTCCATAACAGGCGAAATGGAGAACAAAGTTTTGAAGCAAAAGTGAAAACCTAATATGAAATGTCGAAAATACCACTAATGACTTGTAAAATAGAGTGAGAAAACTTGTAGGGCAAAAATGAAAAAATAAAATTTACTGTAGCAATGTGAGAGGGGGCTTCCACCCATTTACTTACTTGATGTCATCAATTCACATGTATTGGTTTTTTCACGTAATTTTTAAAATTTTAAGAAATTAAAATCGTGACATGTTCACCTGCCACCTGGGCACTTCCGTTGACGGAAGGACTAAGTTGGTCACAGAAAAATGAAGTTTAAAGATAATTTTGATAATTGTTAAAGTTTAAGGACAATTTTGATCTAAAACTAAAAGTTAAAGGACCAAAATGAATATTCAACCTATCCCACCCAACATAGATTGTGAAGGCATTTCTTATTATTTTTCTTTTTTTGTTAAAATACCAATTTGATCCATCAACTTTCAGATTCATATTAAAATTATCCTTAAACTTTAAAAAATATTAAAATTATCCTTGAATTTTAATTTTTGATACCAAAATAGTCTTTATATTAACAAAAGTATTATGTAATTTGTTATCTTGTGACAAAATTAGTTTTTTTTTTTAAATATTAATGACATGTAAAATCAACTAATCATAGTTTGTCATCATGTATATTTCTATTTACATATTTTCTATTTACATATAAAATAGGCATATAATCAAACTTGAATGACTAAATTAATATTTTTAATCAAAGTTAAATGACGAAATTAGTACTTGTTTTCAAAGTTTAAAGACTAAATTGGTAATTAACCAAAGCTTAGGGTCTATTTTAGTTTTTTCCAAGTTTAAAAATAATTTTGATACAAATTTAAAAGTTGAGATATTAAATTAACATTTCAACTTTTTTTTTATGGGAAAATAGGGGATGGACTTCATTCAGCTGTTCTTTGCAAGGCCTAATTTACTTATTAATAGTTTTATCAGTTTTTTTGCTCCTTGAGCACATATTAAGATGTAATTAATGTATTATTTTATAATTAATTTATATTAAAAATATAAATATTAATTAATTAGTTAATTAAAATCATTTATGTATAAGTGCTGTTAAAATAAATATTAATTTTTATAAATTTTTATGTAAATTAATTATAAAAGAATATATTTATCAAACTTTTAATTTGTATCTTAAAAGAAAAAATTTGTTGTTTAATTATTATAAAATTCAAAGGGAAATGAAGGAAAAAATTTTATTTTATTTTACTTTTTATTTTAATTTAATTATTTATCTAAATATGGGTAAAGAAAGGAAAGAGAATAGACGAGAATAGGAAGAAATAATTCCCTTATTTCTTTTCTTTTTCATTTATCTCAATCCACTATAAGGTTGGAGAATAGGTTAAGTATTTAAATTAAGAGATTTAAATTAACTGTTAGTACCATAGGTCTTAAATTAAGAGAATTATTAAAGAAGTTAAAAAAATTAAAATTTTAACAATAAAAATTATTGAATCTAATGATTTGATAGATATATACTTGAGTTAATTATTACTATTATAGAAAGTGTGACCGGTTGGACCGATTCTTTTGATCGGTTCAACCAGCCAAAACAGACCTAATGTCTAAAATGGGGTAGGTTTTTAAAACATTGATAGTAAATATAGAACTAAATTTAATAAATAA